CCCTGGCTTAGCCCAACTCCCCCGGTTGGGCTCTGCGGAAGGGGACTGAGTTGGGGACTCAGGACCCAGGCGGGGCGCAGAGCCCGTCTCCGCAGCTGCGTTCACGGGGGGACCACAGCTCTGTGTCCGTCTGTCCAGGTGTCCTGCAGCAGGTAATAACTGCTGTACCCCAGGCAGTGCTCCCAGCAGTAACTGCTTGGGTAGCTGGGTCTGGAGCTGGTGTGAGCTGGAGTTACACTGTGTCCTGCAAACAGGAGGACTTTTAAACCCTGTTTCTGCCCGCAAGAGAAGGCTTAGCTCTTACTGACCTTCCAGCACTCTGCCCTTCTCTTCGGTGCCAGTAAGTGACTTTCGTAGTGGTTTGAACTGAGTGGAAGAGCTGATGGCTGAGCCCTGACCTGTCTTGAATGTCAGGGAGGATGAGCTTCACGCTGAGCATCCTTTAAAGAAAAGACAGTGGTACCCTCACTGGTCCCTTGTGCTCCCCTGAGCCTGTCCCCATGTCTGTGCCTCCAGGGCTGATGATCTCGGGCTTTGCCCAGGCTGGGGCGGCCCTGGCTGAGCAGGAGTACGTGAGCCGGGCTGCGCAGGCGGCTGCCTTCCTACGGAGGCACCTTTTTGACCCCGCCAGTGGGAGGTTGCTGCGGAGCTGCTACCGGGGCAAAGACAACACGGTGGAGCAGAGGTGAGCAGTGGTACAGAGAGTGTCTCCGGACCGACTGGCCGCCCCGCGGGTGCTCCCCAGGCTCCCGGCAGTCCCTGTCCTCCTTTCCTTCAGGGAGGACTGAACTTGGGAGGGGGGGGGAAGGCTGTCTGCCTTGTGCAGAACTGCCTCTAGTGCAGTTTGGGATGGATTAGTGCCCCCTACCCAGTGAAGAAGAATTAAAAAATCCTTTCCCATTCCTCGTCTTCCAAACTGGCAGGAGCCTTCCCCTGCTGTACAGAAACGCGGTGCTAAGCCATGTCATGACTTGGCACAGCCACCGCTTATCTTGGACTGAGCTCTGAGGTGGCATCTCCTTGGGTAGCAGAGACCAGTAGGCAGGGCTTTGCTGGGTTGGAGAACGTTTCCCACCTGGCCATTGCAGGGACCCCGGTGCTCCTTACCCGTCTGCCCTTGCAGTGCTGTGCCCATCCAAGGCTTCCTGGAGGATTACGTCTTCGTCATCCAGGCTCTCTTTGACCTGTACGAAGCCTCACTGGAGCAGGGCTGGCTGGAGTGGGCCCTTCAGCTCCAGCACATGCAAGACAAGCTCTTCTGGGACCCCAAAGGCTTTGCGTATTTCTCCAGCGAGGCCGGCGATCCCTCTCTGCTCCTGCGCTTGAAGAATGGTGAGCTCCGGGACGTGGCCGTGCTCTGCGTGGGTTATGGTGTGGGGCAGCTTAGGGAGGGTAGTGGTGGTGCCCAGCTGGAGGAGCAAACTGTGGTGAGGCATTGGGCTGATGGAGGATGTGTTGTACCCCACAGACCAAGACGGAGCAGAGCCCACCGCCAACTCTGTCACTGTCACAAACCTGCTCCGAGCAGCTTGTTACTCCGGCCATATGGAGTGGGTGGAAAAAGCTGGGCAGATCTTGGCCGCTTTCTCAGAGAGGCTGCAGAAGATCCCGATTACCCTGCCAGAGATGGCCCGTGCCACCGCTGTCTTCCATCACACCCTCAAACAGGTACGGGCTGGGGCTCCTATGTCCCCTAGAGGACCTGCCACAAGGAGGGGGCCCGGTGGTGGTGTGGGTGCAGTCACAGCTCTCTGCTTTCTCCCTCCTGCCATCCATGTTCTTCCCGCACAGGTCGTGATCTGTGGGGACCCCCAAGGAGAAGACACCAAAGAGATGCTGCGCTGCGTCCGCTCCATCTTCAGCCCAAACAAGGTAGAGGTGCCCGCGCTGCCTGCCAGCCCTGCCTGCGCTCCCCTGCCCCTGCGCAGCCGCTGCCTGCCGGCTGCCCTCGTGCTCCCCGCTGCTGCTGGTGTTGCTGGTGCCTTCATCCTTTCTCCCAGCACTGCTGTAGCATCCATCATCCTCCTCCTCCGTCCTGCCTCCCTTCAGGGGAGCATCCTCTCCTGTCCCTGTTTGTAAGTGCAGCCAGTGGGGCCGCGGCTGAGTCCCTGCGCCCTCTCCCCAGCACAGCGCAGCAGGGACAGCATCTGCTGTCGCTTCTGGCTGTTTACACTGCTCTCAGCCTGAGCTCAGCATCCCCAGTGCTGCTCTCCTGAGGGAAAACCTTTTGTTCCGGTGTGGATGTGTCATGGCCAGTGCGGATGTGTCATGCCTGGTGGGGATCCAGCCAGTGGCTGGGTCACCTTCTGCCTGGAGGCACCCTTGCATCCTTGGGGAGCGGCACGGTGGTACCTCGCTCCAGTTGTGGGTCCCCCCGCCCGGGAGGGGCTGGCTCTTCCCAAAATCTTGGTCCCCAGCTGTGCTGTCGCTGTGTGCTGGGGTTACCGCTTTGCTCTGCTCATCTGCGTCCCCGCTCAGAGATGCGTTGCTCCATGCATCCCATGCAGGGGCTGCGCTGCTGCGGGGACAGAGCTGTTTGCTGCCTGCAGAGCTGGCAGGGAAGGGCAGCGTGGCATCCATCACGGGTAGGCAGCATCCCTGCCCTGGGGATGGGTGGCTCTTGCCTTGGCAAAGCTGTCAAGCTGAGAGAAGCGAGGCTGGGCTGCAGGCGAGGGGACTCAGTGTTACAGCCTCCGGACCGGATTCATCCTCGCCTGTCGGGGTCCCGGTGCCAGGGGCTGGCACTGTGGCCAAAGCACCAGTTTCCTGCTGTAACCCCAGCTGGTGTGAACTGGAAAGGGCTGAACTGTCAGCACAGGATTCCCGCTCTGTCGCCACATTAGCTCAGCCCATGGAGGCACATCCCCGACCTGTGTTCCCGGCGGTGTTTAACACCGGTGTTGGAGGACAGTCACAACTTCTGCCCGGGAATGTGGGTGCAGGACACAGCTCCTGGTCCTTCCTCCGCCATCTCCCATCCAGCTGCGCCCTTGGCCGTGCCGGTCCCCGTGCTGTGTGGCGGGGCCGCTGCTCCCGTGCTCTTCCTCTCCCTTTGAAGGATTACAGTGGGTGACCCAGTTTGCAGGGATGGGAAGGGACGCGGTGGCAGCGGGGAGCCTGGCGCCACTGCTAATAACCCGCTCCCTTTCCCTGCAGCTGGTTCAGCTGTCGGTCCCCTGAGTCCACGCAGGCTCCGGGGGGGACACAGCTTTGGGGTCTCGAGCACAGCAGATAGCGCAGCTCGGTTCTCTCCTGCCTCGCTGGTAACGAGCCTGGCTAGGGGGGATGTTTGCTCCGCAGGGGCAGGTCCATCTCCCCATGGCTGTTGCCTTCCTTGGAGCATGGAGGAAGAGGAGGGCTGGGTGCTCTGGGTGGATATTTCCATGGGGGTGCTCAGGAGCTGCCTGAGGACAGTGTCACCCACCCAGGCTGTGTGCCGGGGGGGGGTCTGTGCGTGGAGGGGGCCATGGGGGGCTGCAGCTGGAGGCTGGCAGCAGGCAGGGCAGAGGTCTGGGCATGCCTGCCCTTGCGTGTGTCTCATGTTGCGATGGGGGAATGGATCAGGAGCCGTCTTGTTAGCAGCCTGGGTTTGTTTCCTGGAGGAAGGAACATGGCAGGAAGACCTCTGCTGGGGGGGTTCTCTCCCCCAGAGGAGCGCAGCCCCACAGGGGCTTTCCCGGTGCCACACTCGTTCCCCATGGACAGCATCATCTCTGGCAGTAGCGATGGCTCCTCGCCTTCCAGAGGTGATGGAGGGAAGGGAGGAGAATCCCAGTGCTCAGAGGGTCACGCTGCCTTCGGGAGCAGCCCGCCGCCTCCCAAGAGCCATCCCTCTCTCTGTGCATCACATGGAGACACGGATGCTCCTTTTCCCACCCACCTTCAGCCCCCTCCAGCTGCTCCCCAGCTCTTGTTCCCCACCCCGAGGAGCTGCCCGAGGCAGGGCAGCCCTGAGTCACCCACTCTGGGGACGCGGCAACTTAGGGAATTGGCTTTGCCAAGAAATTGGGGAAACATCACTGCCGTGTCCCCTGCCACCCCCGATCCCTCCATGCCGGCAGGGCGCTGGGGGCTAGGCTCGTCCGCAGGAACACAATTAATTAGGTCGTTCCAGTAATTAATTCCTTACAAATCTCACATTGAAATCCTTGCTGTAACGAGATGCCGATGATAAAACGGCATTGAGGTCGCAGGTTTAAATGGACCCTGCGCCCGGAGGAGCCCTTCGCCACAGGAGCTGCCACAGGGATGCGAGTGCTCCGAGGGCGATGCCGGTGGCTGGGCGTCCCAGGGCTGGGAGCAGAGAGGGTTGGATCTCTGCTCCAGAGCTGGATCCCGGCTCCTGGTATAGATCCCTGCCCTGTTAATGGTCTTTAGGGTAATTATGAAGGATCCCATTATCTCCTCAGCTGCAGAGTGCTAGCCTGCCGCTCGCCTTCATCCTGGCCCCGCAAGAGGACCTTAGGGAGCTTGTGAGAAAAATGAATAATGAATTTCAGATTGGACATGAATTGGTAATTAATCACTCCTGGAATTAATTCCAGACAAAGGCGAGGAGGGAGGAGGTTGAGGGGGGAGCGGGAGGCAGGCAGGGAGATGGGCTGAGCTGGAGCTGGGTTAAGGCAGAGTCCGAGCGGGAGGTGTGGGACGATGCGGGACAGGATGGGACTGCAGCAGCCGTTATCCAGGGTTTGGGGACGCGGGGACCCCCTGGGGACACAGGGGGTGCGGGCCGGCCCTG